CTGTGACACCTTGAGTTTGAGATTCACTTATGTGAAACATTTGGTTGACCGGTTGAGTACTGCTGCCCCAAAATGGGTTAAACTCTTCTGCTTAATTMCATGATTCAGGCCATATAGTGTGAGAAGCACTGAAAACATGGCAGGCTGTCTCTAGGGCTGCCTTAACACTCATGCCACACAGTACTCAAGGGCTCAYTGACAACACAGGAGGACAGAAAGGGTAACAGGACTCATTTCTTAATTATCAAGAGAGAAAAAGTGCAATGGAGATAATGTTTTCTCTCGATTTTTCACCTGAATTTAAAAAATACTAGCAAAAGACACCAAATTTGAAGGTACCCAAGATGTTTCAATAAACTTGAACCTTAAAAGACACACAATATGCTTTATTTCAGCTTTCCTTTTGGATTCTGTATGATTCACTTTGAGATTAACAGYAGTTCCAAGGTCAGTTTATTTCAAATTATTTAAACATGATGTCTGTATTGTTCAGAAATTAAAAATGGATTATTTTTCATATTTCAGACTACCTGAACTGGAGTTTTTAACATTTAATTGGGTGACAACACAGAATTGAAACCAACATATATGATTAAATATTTTATGCTTGAAAATTGGAAAGGACAAAACAATGGTAATAGGACACTGGCATGTTCATTTGCACTGCATGCCATGAAAAAGACATTTAAAAAAGAAAATTCCAAAGGCAACAGAAGAAAAAAGAGACTGACGGAGATGCACTTGTTTAGCTTTCCCCCAGACAGTGAATCCTACAGGCACAGAGTGCCCCCTGTGGAACTTGAGCTTATTTAAGTTCACACGAAGTAATCAGGGGAGAAGCTTTGGTACCRCTGCTGCCATCACATGATGGTCTGACACATCAAGTGACCCACAGACCTTGTAAGTCCAGTTCAGTGCAATGCAGAGCCCGTGCTGGGCCTCAACAGCTACACTTTGCAGATGAGAGGTTAATGTGCTACTGCTTTGTGGCATTAAGAAACACAAAGTGATTTCAAACTACAGAAACAGCTGCTCATCTGCTCTAGAGAACTGCTGTTAATCCATATGCATAAACCACAACTTCTTTAAAGACAAAAAGAATTCCTTAATTTMCAAAAAGACAATTGTGGATGAGCTGACAAGTTATTGCTGGATGGACATTGATACTTTCTTTTTTTCTGGTTTGATTCACCACGGGTGCGCACAACCTGAAGCATTTTCATTTGGTTCAACTGTTTGCAGGGATTGAAATTACTTCACACCTCATTCTGGATCAACTGAAATTACTTTTCCAGCAAATAAACTGTGTCAATTAATCAGTTTCTTTTGGACTTCAATTTCAGTTTCAAACTCATACCTCCAGACAATGCTGCTTTATTGCTGAGAGGATAAACTTTTCAGGAGACAAACCTTCCACTCAGTTTTGAGTTGTGAGTGCTCATCTGCATGGGTTTGCATTTTTCTTATCTGAGAGCCTGAAAATGAAGATGTGGCCTTCTCCATCTACCAAATATTTTAAAGCCATATGATGCAGGAAAACTGTAGCAGAGTATGGATGAACAGTCTTCCTGCTGTTCCTAGGCTGGCATCTTATTTTTATGAGTAGCCTTCCTGTAGCTCTCAGCAGGCCTTCCAGCTCCGAGATGAAAAAAGGAAGGCATACAATAAACAGCCTCATTAAGCTACACAGGCCTGGTTCATTTCTGATCACYGCCTTACAATCTGTATCAAAGAAACACTATCTGTAAGGATGAATTCATTTAATTGGAAACTACTGTGATAAATACCCAAAAGACTTTATGTACAGTCAGACAAGAAATCAAAAGATGTTTTCTGACAGCTTGATTTTAAAACATAAATAATTTTCTGTGATAACAATTAATTCATCTGCAATACCCTTGATTATTTTTCAAGAAATAAGAGGATAGTAAATTATTCCCAGACAAGTAATAACCCTTCTGTTGTGAGCCAGMAGGATGAAAGATTCAGCTCTGAAGCACCAACTACATTATGTAAGTCTGCATACCTTGAATTATAGGGCTAGCAGCAATTGCAATTAGCAGGAGAAGGCATAATTCAGGAAAGGGCTATTGGATAGTTTTCCAGGACTGAAAGAACAGATTGACAAATGCCCCAACAGGGACTTTTCAATCCTGAAGAACCTTCTGGTCCTTCTGACCATCACAAAAGGCCTGTCTAGGAGAAAAGCCATGCAGACACAGTGTCTGTTCCCSTTCCCTGTAAGTGCGGTGTCCGCTGCTACAGATTTGGCAATTGCATGAGCTCGGCCTCAGATTAGACTGTTTGTGCTTGGTTATTTTCACACACTGCCAAAATTTGCTGACAACACCAGGAAAAAAAAAAGGAAAGTAAAACTGGTGATTTTCAACAGTTTATAACTCAGCTCAGCCTAAGCAGGTTTTTATGGGACAAAGAACAGAGATTTCTCTGTAGACAGCACTTTATTCCTGCCTAATTTAAAAGATTTGCTGTGAATGATGGAAACATTAGAACTTCTTAAAGAAAACATAACAAAAAAAAATCCTAGCAGTTCAGCAGTAGTATTTCTCCACAGTAGATCAGGTTTGGTGATATAAATAGAGACCATTATCTGCCTCTCATAATTATTCGCATTAAAGTTTTTTTAAAGAAAATGAAAATATTAGACTTAAAGGAAGAGGCCTTCAAAATACATAGTATTTCTTTAAGGAGTGAAATTTCTTGCTCGGAATAATTCACACTTGAGCTATTCCAGTGCCACACTATTCCCTAAGGAGTGTGAAATGATCTTCTCAGGGTTACAGAGTCAGTAGTAAACACAAGTTCTACTCAAAGAAACAGTATTTAAAACATGTATTTTCCCTAGCATGGTATCTAACAATTTCCTACTAAAACCCAGAGGCAACTTTGTGGAGTCCACTTGTTGCTTTAACACTTCCTTTTATTCCATATCTAGAATCTCCTAAAGTAGCATTTCCTAAGCTATTTTTCTTGTCTGCTCCCCAGCCCCATTAGCTGACTGCAGGGCTGTTAAATCTACACCTCTATCAAATCTCAAATTGAATCAGTGCTGCTTTTGAGCACCTCAAACTTTTCCCACCAAAGCATGCCCTAAAATTTGGGAAACAATACTGCTTTATTGTATCTTTGAACACTATCTGCACAACAGCTATGATTTTCTGTAAGGACACCAAAAGCAGCTAATTGGCTCATAAAACTGACCATTCATTCAATTAGTGTTGYTTTTGAGCTGAAATAGTAGAAAACACTGTAACAACATGAGAGACTTTTTGTAAAACTAGAAAACAGATAACAAAAATGCATTTAATAAAAGGCATAGGCTGGGGAAAGTCAGGCAGCAAATATATTGGAGTTTCTGTATAAAAAAAAATAAGATATTTAATTGACTGGGAGTCCTCAGTAGAGGCTTGTTTGCAACAGAGCCTTATGGTGAGGGTGAGTTTTTGAAGTCTGGATGCCTTTGGCAGCTTTATAGAACTTTAAGACAGACCAGCTATGACTAAAACACGCTCAGCTAGTTAACTATACAAATGTAATGCTTTTTCCATCTTTCTCTCCATGTGCTGACAGCATTACCATTCTCTCTAGTGTTCTTCTTCCTCCTGAGGTACAATGGATCTACCAGTTCATGCAGTCCCTGATAGTACATTTCAGTACAAAAGCTTTCCAACAATAACTTACACAGCTAAGAGAGGTCATCATTTAGAAGTGAGTAGTTATATTAGAGGATCTACACAATTCCAAATACATTTCAGGATATGCAGTACACTACGTTTAGATTTTAATGAGAAGGTTTGGCAGAGCAGTTTGGCAGAAGAAAGTACTATCAAGTGATTGGATATGGGATACATCTCCAGTTGCTTTGGATTCCCACATGACCTAAAGAGCTATTCTTCCCATCCCCCAATACAGCAAYTCTCAAGGCAGTCAAATTTATAGCTCAATAAAATTTTTTATTAAAAATAAAAAGTGTGGCTTTTAAGTACTGCAGTCCTCCAACATCCTTATGCCAGGTCTAGATCAGACTGTTGTAGCTGAATATGAAGCTGGGGAGGTTTGGCCCACTTTATACAGCACTCCTAAGTTAAAGTTTCAAGATCTAAGCCACCTCTTTCCATTTTGTAACAGCTGTTTTTCTATCCTTTCATTAAAAAAAAAAAAAAAAAGGAAAGAGACCAGTGTAGAATAGTTAAATAAATAAATAATGGCTCATAAAACCACAGTGGAGGAACCACTGCTAGTCCTGCCAATAAAAATGTTCCTTCTCTTCAGGGCTGGCTAAACAACTGAAAGTGTTTCTAATGAACTGCTGGCAGCACTATCCATCATCGCACTAAATAGATTCAYGTCTCCCTAAACTAAGGATAACTATTTATCTATAATGCACAGTCAGAAATTAGGAAGTATTTAAGCTGGAGAAAGCCAAWCCCTCTCTTCTCCCCACCTCCTCAAAGCTTCATTTTATCCAGGCTTGCTTGTGCAAAGATGATGAGAAAAGTCTGACWGACAGAGAACTTCAAACTGCTCCAGCACTAATGAATCATCTGCATGAGCTTGAGAAATACTTGTGCARACCAGACACTTGACATTGTGTTTATCTCTTCCCTCTTTTTTCTGCCATTTGCTACACTGACTTGCACCTTACCTTGAAGTAGTGCTGCTCAAAGCAAGATGGCACATTCATTACACATAAAATAAGAGTCCCAATAGTTGCTTAGGATCTTTGAATATGCTATTGTGCAAATAATAGTAGTCTATTGTGAACTATCAAAAGGAAGAAATGTTTTTGGATCTACGGAAGTGTGAAAGACGTGTCAGTAATCTCTGGTCAGAAGTCACTTCTGAAGGCTCAGCTGGTTACAGATAGTTGCCATCTGCAGGGACATACCCATGCAGGGGYTGTCTTTAGAACAATAAGGATCAGAAAGGAATGTGGAGACATCAATAAAACCCACCTTCAAATAATAAAAGACACTTACTTCATTTCCAGGACCTCCTCCAAATGTTTCCTTCTTTCAGCTCGTAGGTTGGTCAAATGGGTTTCCTTCTCAGCCAAAGACTGTTGTGTAGAGGACAATTTTGCTTTCATTGACTCCAGCTCCTGTTTGACCTTCTCCATGGCCATCATCAGCTCTTCTACCTAAAACATTTTTGGAGAGGACAGGAGGAGAGAAAAATAGTGCAGAATGATCAGCTGGAACTTAATAAATGTCACACCTAAATTGGAGCACAAAGGTTACAAGTGAATGGATGCCACAGAGCACTTCTGCAGGCTGGAGGCATCATCCAGTGCTGTAGACAGGATGTCWACACTCGACCAAGGCAACATTACAGCTTGTGAATTAACTCAGTTTGGTCACTGCAACATTACCATTACAATACAAACCTTCAACTCTTCTGTACTTCTGTTTTAGAAAATGTACCACAAGGATAAGAGGGTGGACTGTATATGTAAACACTGGCCCAAAAAAAAAATGCAAGGTATTAAACGAAGCATACTGATAACACACCAAAAGGATAAAAACTTTCACTGTTAATGATGCTCAAGAGAAACCACATATGCACTTTAAGAACAAAGGTAACATTTCTGAAGCAGGGAGAGGACTGAGTTCCCATAATACATAAGTGAGGCTGCTTCCCTCAAAATGCCATTTGAAGAATGCTTATAGGCACATGCTGGGATTTAGCAATATAAGGCAGTCAGAGTTGCTGATGGCAGAGAAGTATAGCAGAACAATTTTTTTATCTTTAGCAAATTGGAAAGATTCAGAATCAACATGAATATAAATTCTAGCACAGATTTTACACAGTCAAAGAGACATTGTATTTTGCACTTGAAACAGGTTCTGTCTCAGGAAAAATTTATCACTAATTGACATGCAAAACCATAATAAATGCTCAAGTCTAGCTATATATATAGCATTTGAAAACCTGTGGATGTGCTTTAATAATTTTACAATAAAGCTTGATCACACACATTACTTTCACTGACTTCTTCTATGCAGGTTTTCCCCTTCTATCACAACCAAGTGCTCATAAACAGTATTATAATATGTTTTCAATGGGAGAAACATTTCAACAGGAGAAGCTACTGCTGCACATAATCAAACATTTGTATAAATTTAGTSTGAAAACACCGCACTGTATTGCCTTTATATCCCTCCATAACAATCAACTTGTGATCCATCCTGGAAGTGAATTACTRAAATGATAACAAGCTCAATTTCTACTTACATGTTTTTACAAGAAGAGTTGAGCATGTCATTTGCTATCTAAGTGTTGTAGGAGTGAAGTATGTAACATGCTTTAATAAATCCTGTACTCCTAAAGGCAGAGCTGATGACTCAGGACAAACATGGAAAATAAGACTGGTTTTCATTCTCAGYCAGTGACAGCAAGAAACATTGCAATTCAGAATCAGGAGATTTATAAAAATCTAGCAGAGATATGGAGAAATGTTTACTGCAGAAAGCTTTTCTACTTCCATTTAAATGAAGCTGTTAAAGGGTGGTATTCTTATGCTCAGCAAATTTTAAAAAAAATTAAATATGCAATTACTATAAATGATTCAAAATGTACAGCCAAGAATTCATACAATAATCAACAGACCAAAGGAGAACTTCAGCGATAGGTAGTCCAAACTGGCAAGTGTGGCTATAATAACCAAACCACTCCTGTTTTATTACTGTTCAGCGTGCAAAACATGATCAGAAAATCTGTCRGCTTTTAAAACTAAGAGGAAAATCCATAAAATGAATTAGAGGAAATAGAACAGAAAAGAATGCAAAGAAGAACTGCAGAAATAACAAATAGCAAAAATACTACTAAGATGGAAACTGATTCTTAGWAAAATGGTGGAGTAATGAGGGTGCACTTGTGCATCAGCTGCTAGGATATCAGCTTCTGCTTCCTCTGGGTGGATCAGAAATGCCTACACRGACATTTTCCTTCAAACTGAAAAGAGGCACACCAACTATAAACCCCTTGGCTCGAACAGAAAACCACCTCAAATCAACAARCCCCTAGCCAACTGCAACAGTCCAAAGGGCCTGTGTCAATCTGTCAGCTGCCAAGATAAAACAATCTGTGAAGCAACATCTCCATAATCAGGTTTGAAACATTTCTGACAGGCTTCCTCCCATTGCCAGCCATCAAAGTCTGTGATGTTAACACTGAAGGACTGGTTGGCTTGATGTAGATCTGTAGCATGACAACTCTGTGCTGTTTGGAAGGCATGAGGAGACTGGAGGCTGATATCTAGGCCAAGGCTCCTAGGGAGAGGTGCCAAGAGCTAATTCTGCAAGAGTATCTCATAGCAGTGRTTATTGCAGGTACTTAATAAGTCTTATTGCAGTTTTCTCATTGCTCTGTTTGATAATTCTTTTAATTCTAAGGCTATACTTTGCATTTTTGCAGGCCAACAGAAAATTGATCTAATCATGTTTTAGGAATGGCTGGAATGTGAGTAGCTTTTAAACTGTGCCAATAACTTGGTTTACAGAGCTGTCATTACCTTCCACGATCTCCAGCAAGGGCCATTTGTCACGCAATTTGCTAAAGACAAAGTTCACCAAAATAGTGAKGACTGTATTCACAGTAAAGACTTCATTGTTCAGATTCATCAGGGTGTAGATAGTCCATGGGTCTATTTCAATTAAACTTCTACAAAACAAAACATTTTATTTGGCAGCTTATGAATCTTAGTGCAGACCTGTCCCAGTAAGCAGTCCAGTGAGAAATGACAGAGGAATATTCACTGGAAGAAACTACTTGAAATGCACATCTATTTAAGCCCATACACAAAACTTCAAATCTACCCTTGATTTTTACCCCCTGAGAACAGCTAATTATATAATAAAGAAAAAATATTTGCCAAAACCAAAGTTCTTGGCATGCTGAGACATTTTCAGAGACATGCTGTTGACATTTGCAATTTAACTGCGGACAAGCTTGTGCCTTGTCAGATATAACTAGAAAGTCTCCACCCATTTCAGAAGATGTAAACAGTGAACTCTTGCTCCTCTTTTCTCTTTGCTCAAATGACAGTATATAARGCAAAATGTATCTTTGACTGCCTAGGACTTAGCCATGATTCAGTTCTCTATAGACAGGCCAGAAAGGTCTTCATGTATTCTGAACAGAGAACTTAAATGGATACTTATTTGTTCATTGTTTTTAAGCCCTAAGTGACCTGACCACGTGACAGCTTATCTTTAAGGAAGAAYATCAAGCTGAAATAAGTTTCCATTAGAGGAGAGAGCTCCTGAGAGACTGAATGAACGATGTGAAAGAGAGCAARGAATGTCAATTAGATCTGTATGGGATTCACAGCAGCAGAAGAGGGAAATGTCAAGATAGAACAAATATTTTATGTAGTATTACATCTCCTTCCTTAGGAAAGCATGAAAACAAGGTGGAGAGAAACAGCAATACAAAAGAAGAGGTTTATCTACCATGTCAATGGCAGCTTTTACAGAAATGATTTAATAACAAAAAAAAAATTAAATAAAGAAACCCTTTTCAGAAGCTTATCTACCATCTTAATCTCCCTGCTCCTGCAAATCAAAACCCAGGCTTTTACATAGACATATTACCTCCAAATACATTGTGGTTCCAGTAAACCTTTCTGGCCACTGGGCAAYGTGAAGCCAGGGACTTGCAAAGAGCTTGGTCAAGTTCCCCAAAAGCCAGTAAAAAGACAACAAAATTGAGAAAGGGACTGAATATGCAAAGTATTACTGAGGCTGGAAATCCTACCAATCTCTGTACTAGGTCTTGGAATGATTACTGATCATCAGGATGGGCAAGCTCCAACTCCCTCACCTGTTACATGAGAACTAATGCRCTACTAAGAATTCCTGAGACCCAAGAGATATTTCAGGTCAGGAAGAGTGCTTATATCAACTAATGTGGTTGTTATTATTTKCCCCTTAAAATCAGAGCCCAAAGAYTCCAATAYCTAAAGCTGATCCAGACAGATGGCTAACTAATGGAACCTTAGCATCCCCAAACACTTCAGTTTGTTTAGATAGCAATGTAGTGGCAGCTATCTTTTTTCTTCCCATYGTGAGCTTTCCTCAGTGATAAAGGATCACCTGAAAATAACTTTTCTACTCCACAGAAAATTGAAAAAGGCTTCTACAGCCCTCTCARRAAGATAGCTCTGRAGCTTAATTTTCTGCTTACATCTTKTCAGAGAAGCAGAGCAATTTTGGGTCATCATCGAAGCAACAARTGCATCATGAATGTTGGTAATGCAATGTAATTCACTACAGTGGTACAGTGCAACTATAAAGAGGCAATGGACAAAGTCATTAATAAAGGGAACACAAGAGCAAAGTGCTATACACTTGAGAAAACACTTGCAGAGGATCTGTTCTGAMATGGTGACCCATGCAATCCATGTTAATACGCTACATGCATACCAAGAATGAGGAAAAGGCATTCTTTAGCCTTTTGCAGACACCATAAAGGAAAATTTTCTAGTCTCAAGTGACARGATATGAATGCATCCAAATTCAAATATATATGACTGGCATGAAATTTATTAAAGATAGCAAAGCACTGCTATCTTTATATAAACTATATAAAAATATACGCTAATGTTAGATAAGGCTTTTTCTCACCTGTAGATTAGCAATCTTTGAAGAGGAGATGGTTTACTTTTTTTGTTTTTCATTTTTCATAGAATAGTTTGGATTGGAGGGGACCTTTAAGCACCACATATAGGGCAACCCTCCTGCCACTCTTTTCACTAGATTAGATCTCTCAAAGCYCTGTTTAACCCAACCTTGAACTCTTCCAGTGATGACATATCCATAACCTCTCAGGGCAATCTGTTCCAGAGTCTCACCRTGCTTATTATAAAGAACTTCTTCCSTATGTYCAGTCCAAACTTACCCTCYTMCAGTTTAAAACCTTTGACCCTTGTCCTGTAACTATAGACCTTGGGGAAGAGTCTCTCTCTTTAAAGTCCCGTTTTTACACTTAAAGGCTGCAATGAAGWCTCTCCAGAGCCTTCTCCAGACTGAACAATCCAAATTCTCAGGGTTTCCGCATAGSAGAGGTGCTCCAATGCTCTGATCATCTTGGCCTCCTTTGGACTTGCTCCAACAGGTTCACGTCCTTCCTGTGCTGGGG